GATTGATTGCATCCGCCAATAGGAAAATAGAGTGCGATCAGTGAGATGACGCGAACAGGTTATGCTCGTTATGCTTATTAGATGTGTGCTGTTGTACACAGGCAAAAATGGTCAAGATATGTTATTTATGTGGCAAAAAGCCTAATGCGCCTAATGCGACTGAAAACATTAGTTTGCATAGGTATGAAATAGGTATTAGTTTGTACTGATTATCATGAAATTTCTGTAAGGGATTGCACTGTATTCTTATATACATAACGGCAATTTTGAAAAAGTTTATTTCATAAAATTAGGATTAATTTATTTATTCCGACTAAACTGACTCTGTTAACTGTAACAAGGTTATACCCTGAAGCGGAATCAATCACTTTTTCCTTCTTCCTTACACATATATGTATATTTATCCTTCTATTTATTATTGATGGAGGGGATGAATCCGACGCATGCGCACAACGTTCAAAGTACGCTAAGAAAGAGAGAGAAGTATATTCCCGCACCGTGGTTCTGGGACATGGACTTCTCTCTCATCTAGCCATATAGTAGTATTATATATATGAGTGAAACACGCTGCTCTCGTCTAGTGCGCGCTCAGTGCGCACCAGTGCAGCCAGTGAAATGCGCTATAAAGAGCCGCGTTGACGAGAGCGTCGTCACAAGAGCGAACCTGTCTTAAAATCCCTTCCTATTGTGCAAGCATCCCTTCCTGTTGCATAACATGGCCCGAAACGCGTGGGAGTAGGGCAACGGATCCACAACCTTTCTGGGAAGCGTTTCTCGATCTCTCTAGTTGAGTTCCGGAGAACCGCTCGACGGACGCGTCTCGGTTCGGGTGCTCTCCAATTTATATTTTTGAAAGTGTTGCCGACTTCGACTGAGCAATTGAATCCCAACGATGGTGTCCGCGGATGGGCTCGTCTCGATTGTTCGACATTTCGTCGATTAGGACTCCTGGCGCGCGTTATTGCGGTGTGACGACGCCGTAGACGCAGGCGTCAGGTGGCCGTTCGAGCAACGCCATTTTCGCGGGCATTGCATCATCTATTGCTATTCTACCACAGACGTAATCTGCACAGACGTGATCTGGCCGTATTGTCTCCGCTCATTTTAAAGGAGATAGGAGCCATTAATTAAGAAGAAGAAGAAGATCTCTCTAGTTCCGGCTCTCCAACTGTGCGGTTCGTTCTCCTGGGACACCGTCTGCGACGCCATGTGTAAGACCACGTGTGAATTTTCCTATTCTTCAAAATCCATTTTTGCATCCTAACTCAAATCCACACCGGGTTCTCTTACGCATTATAAATTCAATTAACACTTACTTAAAATAAACTCTAGTTATAAATTTGTAATAATTCAATTATCCTTAATTTTAAGATTGAACTTGTAAAACTTCACTGATTTAATTGAATTACGCTGTAAGCATATGTTCTAATTAATTCTCCTTTTGTAATTGAATTCAATTAGTATAAAATATACATAATTGTATTTTATGAAATCGGAACAGAACTTGTTTAACGTCCTTATTACCGCTTCCTCATTTTACTTCCTTCGCCTTCAAACACGAGGTTTACGAAGTACTGGTCCAGTATTCAAATCTACCAAGGAAGGATCCAAGCTGCAAGCGTATCGTCATTCGTGAGGACTTACAGGTAAAGGGTAACACAGCCCAACAAAATTTCCCTAATTTCACGTTGACTTACAAGTATAAGTCGATTCCGATAGGATTTTTTCCGCAGAATCCAAATATGCCTATAAAAATATTGAATTGGCTCTAGTTTTTAAACAACTGAAGATCAAAAGGGTCGAAT